GGGTGGAGCGCGAATGGACAGTTCCGAATCCAAGTACAACCATAATTGAACAAAAATGATGATAACGCTCCAGGGATTTTCCCATGGTCGCTTGACTCGCGCGATTAAATCGCTGATGTCGCGATCTATGAATGCTAATTCAGGCGCGCATGCTTGCGCGCTCTTGGACATCCCATTCACGTTTCTCGCATACGTGAATTAGCAGCGGCTTAAGATTATCGAAAAAACGCTCACCTTTTGCTTGTTGGTTCGTGCCATAAGTTCCTCAACGATGTCGTGCACTTCTCTGCCAACGGTTTCAGGCATGTTAAAATACAAGTAGATCAATGAAAATATCGAAGGAATGATGAAGAGTGGGATGAACGCCCAAGACTGAAACAGCAGAATACAACTAAAAGCTTTGAAATATGGCCAGGACTGATGGAGCTCAGGCAGATTGGAGTGTGAATGGCACACTCGGCGAGAACGGGCCGCACAGGCTCTGATCGTCTGCGCTCTTCCTAAGGCTGAGCCTGTTGCAGGAGCGCCTCAGTAATTCCTCGATAAGCTTGGGAGCTGGGGCAGTTGAGTGACACTACGCTGCAACGCGAGTAAACGATCTCTTTTGCTCGTCTACGTCCTCCCGCCTAGGTAGGTTCATAAACCTGCCTTCCCTAAGAAGCTCAGGCCTAGAGAGTGTAGACGAACCACGTGGGCGCGACCCAGTCTTGTCGCGTGACTCTTCTCGATCACCTCAGCTGAGCGACCGTCTTGAAGGGGTTAAATCGTTCATGTCACACAATAACATAACTGATGGAATACCTTGATTGCTGTGAATGCTGGAAGAGTGGCGAAGGTAAAAGCGAAGTTGGCAACGGTGTTCACAGCAAATACCATTGACTGCACAACTGAGCGATGTTGTTGACTGACTAGTTCCGATGTGATGAAGAAAGCTATGGGACCGAGACCAACGCTGAAAGATGCGAGCTAGTTAAACGTTCTCGGTACCAAGTACAATTCATGTCTCTAAAATGGGGAGGGCGCGACTGCGTGGGGCTCATTTTCTCTGGGTTGGGTCCGTTTGAAACAACTTTCGTCCAGTAGTGCGCTGGACAAATATACAGTTACAATTGCATGAAGTCTTCACAATATTCCACCAAAAGCACAATAGCCGCCACGCTTGGATGAAGTATGTACGCAGCCACACCCTCTCATCTCTACTCATGTGGAGTGTACAGGGGGGGCCAAAAAAAAGTCATTTTGCCTCCATGACTTTCAAGGCGCTATAAGTTACACTTTATTAAATTTTTATCGGACATTTTTACTACCATATTAAAGAGCACATTAAATACTATAATGATACTCCGCCACAGCCTTCTGGAGGAGCGCCATCGAGAGATTCGGCCGTGGGTACCGGAGTTGAGCGAGATCGTTGATTTCTCCGCCACTGTAGACCACCCTGTTGAGCTCCGCCCGAACTAGGTAATTGAGTGGGTTCAGGTCAGGGGACATACTTCAATATTACATCTTCATCAGGTACGAAACGCCCTTCCATTCGAAGTAGGCGGGAGTTTTTCCAAAACCCTTTGATTCCATG